GGATGGACTGGTCTACTTCATCACTGCGTTCTGTTTCAACGCCCTCCCTGCAGTACGTATTTCGTAGTATCCCGATGTCCACGGCTCTGAAAAATTGACGATTAGATCTTGAATGTCATCAATCTAAATGGTATGTGGTGGCAGTCGCACCAGTGGAAATGATGCTGATGTACCCTCCTTGTAGTGGCCATGGATGTGTACGTCAGACATGCTATCCCCAGCTTCACCAGCCTAACTGAGTATACCTTCGATGTCCGATGTCCAGTGTTGCAACGGTGAGTTCTGCAGCCCCATCCCATTCCCCATATTCACACCCATCCTGCTTTCTCAGGTCCCCGCAGCATGTTTCTCCTCCATCGCCGCTTGCCGCGCCGTGATCCGCCTGCAGGAGTTCGCGCGGCCAGATGTCTACGTGCACACCGCGTCGCAGATCGTGTCCGGCGGGAGCGCACAGAGCCCCAACTACACCGGCGGGGGCGCGTCGCGCGCCGTGCGCCGCTTCACCACGCGCCGCAACGAGCCGCAGTTCGCGCGCCCGGAGGTGCACGTCACTACGGACCAATTCGTCGTTGAGGACTACCGGTGCGTGTCGCCTCCGTGTTTCTCGTGCTCGATGGGTGGCATGGGGTGCTGATGGTGTTGGTGTGGTGCAGGATGAAGCCGCTCTCGCCGATCTCGCCCGGGAGTGAGGGCACACGGGTCAAGTTCGAGGGCTCGGACTACGACCTGGATAAGATGTCCGAGGTGGAGGAGGAAGACAAGGCGGCGTACCCCATCGCCGAGGCCGTCTAGGTCGCCAGCGACCAACATCAGCTCACATGCACCGAAAACTCTCAGCCCAGAATGAGGCGGCTGAGCCACGAAGTACCGATGATCAGCGTACAGCGCAGTGTAGATGTCAAGTGTGCGATTATGTAGCGGCTCGGTTAGACGGAATAAAGGTGTAGCGTGAGGATGTATCCGCGCAGTCTAGTTCAAGATACCCTACCAAGACACTCTATAATCGCGCTCCATCCTGCAGATTGTGTCCATTGTTTGTCGATATACCGCTGTCACAGTACTATACACGTAACATAGCCAGTGCTCTGGAGTACAATGCTACCTCACTCACTTTGAACACGTATACCAGTGCACCGAGAAACCGAAGGAAGGTTAGTTAGTAGGCATCATGCCTCACGCAAGTCGAGGCATTCATCCAAGGCAAACAGGCAGGAGCATTTATTGCGTTTTCACCCAGTCCCAAATGACTAGCAGAGAAAGTCTGACAGCACAAGCAAAAGAGCTACACTACCGATAAGAATACAGAACAAGACATATCGCGCGCATCACCGTCTCCGATGAGACCTCCCGGCTTTCCTCTTCGCGGCAATTCCTCCCTGTCGGTTCGTCCCTTTCGATTCAGGACGGGCGGGCATGCCCTTCGATAGCCGCCATTGCTCGCGGCGGGACCCTCGGGGCCCGTGCGTAGATATCCGTTTTGCGCCCTCTGTTGAGGGGCCCGCGGAACCGGAGTCGACCGCCATAGCATCTGTGGATAGCGAGGTGGTCGTATCGAGTTAGGGAAGGAAGCAGAGTGGGGGATGAACATTGATGGTACGTGAGCGTGTGGAGTGTTCAGGAGGCGGGAGCGGCGAATATGGGTGGCGTTGAGGAAGAATTGTGTCCAAGAGTATGCGAGGCGAGTATTGCGTCGCACGCGACAGGGATATATCGTGAGACAGGGCAAATGAGCAGAGGCAGAGGATACAGACCTGCACCCTCAGCCGGAGCGTCGCCCGTTGTCTGACCATCTGTCGGAGAAGCTACCGTGTCAACCATCGTCCTTATAAACCAGCTCCGAAAAGCAGAAAAGGCTCAAAGGAAAAGATGGCTGAACAGCCTGCTGCCGTCGTCTGCAAGATCGCTCGAGCTCGCTCGGCCACCCTTTCGTCTCTTCGAGTCAGCGCTCTCACTAGCGGAAGCGGGAGCAGTGTGTCGTGCGAGGCGCTCCATAGCCTGCATGCCCTCGGCGGTGACATCTGCAGGGTCAAGGAGGCCAAAGTCCGCAAACCAATACCAACCTGGGCGTTGCTCGACACTCTCCTCGCCGCTGAACGAGTCGGCGATCTCCTCCGGGACGTCGACGTCGCCGTCTTTATCGAGGGTGGTGAGGACCTTGAGTTTTTGGTGGAGGCGATTGAGACGTGCTGCCTCGGCGACTGCGTATACGCCCTCCGTGCGTTTCTTTGCGCGGAAATGACGCTTGACTTTTGAGCGGGTCGATTTGGCCATCGGTGAGGTGTAAAATCGGTGTCGAGGAGGGTGATGGTCGGTGTGGGGAGGAGAGTGTGGCTGAGAGAGGACGTTGCTTGAAAAGTCCTCTCGGCACCGCTCGGCACGTAAGCTGCGTCTACAAAGGTGGCTGCTTCATTCTGCCCCCTATTCGTAGCTGGTGACTCCTACGTACATACTGGCTGAATTGGAAAGTTTGCTGTGTCCTGGACACTCCGCGTATCGTCCAAACCTGCGTCCACATCTATTGCTCGCTTAGCCGCAGTGTGTCCAGTACCGTCCACAGAGTTTTTAAGTCGTCGCAAGACTCTATCCTCTGTAGATCATTCGTGCCCAGAGTCTCTGAGGCAGGGTACCATGCCGCGGATCACATGCACAGTTGATCATTAATTGCTTGTTCACGGAAAGTCATTCAGTTGTCCAATCACCGATAGCCGAGCCGGGGCATGTGAAACGAGCCGCTCCCCACATCTCATTCTGCTTGCCGGCGGGGTACATAATCTAGTTTACCTACAAGCTATCTACGGGCCTCTGTGCAGCTTGACGTTAACCCCCGCCTATTGCCTGTCCACGACTCCAGAATGTCATATCCGCTTGGGTTTCCGTCGGCGCACCCCTTGGTGACGGTCACACACCGTGCGCACTACGTTCTTCGAGCTATAAAGACGTTTGCTAACGGCGAAATGATAGCAACACCAACTTCATGGCTCATTGAGATGCACAATGGCGACGACAGTCGCTTCACGGAACAGTTCGTCAGTCATGCCTTGATGCCCGCGCTGGATGCCGTCGAACGGCACTGGCGGGAGAACTGGCGTGCAGCCAGGGCAGCGAAGGACAAGAACGGTGGACGAGGCACCCTCGTCCTCGTCGGAAAGCGCGGACAGAACAAGTTCTTCAGCAATGGTGTGTATGTTGCTACTCGTCACTCGCGCAGAGGTTCACACAAGCACAGGGCTTGACTACGATAACCTGATCAAGGACCCCCACTTCCAGACCAATTTCTTCCCCCGTGAGCACCTTCAACGGCCCCTATACATTTAAGGTCTGACGGACATGGACAGTGGTGTTCAACCCACTCATGCGAAGGCTACTCACTTTCCCGAGTAGGTCGCTCGCTCATACCCTGTGCGGCCCATGCCCTCATGACATTGTTCAGTTCCTACCGTAGCTGCCATCAATGGCCATTGCTTCGCCGGAGCTTTTGGGCTGTCGATGTGCTGCGACTACCGTGTCATGACGGACGGCAGTAGCCGAAATGCTTGGTTGAGCATGAACGAGGTGAGGCTGCGCGCACGCCCCTCCGCCTGCGTCTAACTCCCCTGCAGGTACACTTCGGCGCTGGGTGGCCCTTATCCTTCGCAGGTGTATTCCGATCGAAGGTCCAGGATGCAAAGGTGCTGCGCAAAATTGCGTTGGAAGGCCACCGTTTCACGCCCCAAGAAGCCCTCGAAGCTGGTTTGGTGGACCGGATCGTCAAAGGCGACACGGAGACAATCATCGACAAGGCTCGTCAAGTTGGCGAGGCTGCCAGCGCAATGAGTGTGTCAGGAGTGTGGGGCGTTATCAAGGTGAGCCGAACCGTTTGGTGCACGGGGGTCAATGGAAGTGACGTTATGTGCGTGCAGCGTGATTTGTACAGGGACGCGTTGGAGGCAAGCGAGAGGTCCGTGCAGCAGGTGAACGTCTTCTCGGACGACGCAGCGGCGAAGGCAAGACTGTAGTACTTATCGTAGTGTCCGAGGTTTCTTCCTGATGGGACGAGGGCCTGTGTCAATATCTCCTGAAGACTGTCAGAACAAGATGAGGTAGATTGCTCCAGGAGTCCTCGTTGTACCCCAGATGACTGCATCCATGACATGTGCAATTGATGATGGCGAATAGGATACACATGAAGTGTGTCGAAGCAAACCCTATTGGGTGCCGTTGTGCTATACGGCGTAGCACCAGGTCTACATTCTAGACCGACATGGGTCTGGCTGCGAATGTATCCCTGCGAGTAGAACGCAAAATGTCACCATACGGCAGACACTCCAACCAACAAAAATACGTACCTCTCATGACAATGGCTTCGACTGAGCATCTGGTTGGATGATCTGTTTCCGCACCCGCTCACGCTCCTCCTCCAGCACCTCCAGCCCGGGCCGCCTTCCAACCTCGAGACCATACAACGCGCGCAGAACCCTCGTCTCCCGACTGTTCCTACTGCCGCTCCAATTGCCTGCCGGCTCTAGCGTCGGCACTGCTACCGCCGACGTGTCCGCTGCCACTCTCAGGTCGCCAATCTTCGGCGACGCCTCCAGCTTCGACTGCTGCTCTCTGAGGTCCCTGTAGTCGAGTTCCTCGCCGCGGCTGTCGCCCGTGCCCATCGCAAACTTGACGACGAATTCCTTGTCTATCGTTTCGGAGAGGTTGCTGGGCGTGAGGAAGTGGTCGGACTGCTGATACAGAGACACGAGTGCGCGCATCCGTTCCTTGGGCACGGGAGCCGAGGGCCGTTTGCGACCTGAGGTGCTCGAGGCATATCGTTTTGCGCTGGTCGCGCAGCGGAAGGGTCTTGAGAGGCTGCTAGTCGTTGGTCGCATCTTGGGGACGCACGGATGCATGAGAGCGCACGGACTCGGTGTCAACAAGCTCGCGCACGGAATGAAGGCAAGCAGCGATGGCCCTGAAGCGCTGAAACGAAACGCTGGCCGGATTCCAAGCGCTTTGGCACGGCGCTTGAGTACGGCTTGGTGGTCTAGAGGTATGATTCCTTCTTAGGGTCTTGGTTCTAATCAAGATACATAAAATAGTCTGGAGGAGGTCCCGAGTTCAATTCTCGGCCAAGCCCTCGTTTTACACCTCGCGAACAGTGTATGCATGTCCAGTATTTTTTTCCTTGCAGTTGCATTTGCTGGATCCACGTGCGACGGCCCTGGTGCTGGTGGGCGTCGGTCATTCTTCTCTTCCCAGCCAGGAAAGTCCCGCCGAGCCATCCCCGAAGGCAATTGGTGAGGATGCCTGAGCCTCGTAACGTTGGGGGAGCCAGTGAGACACAGCTAAGCATGACTGTTCCTCTTCTGCACTGAGCTCGAGAACACAGCATACCAAGGGAGTTCGCGTTTCTCTCTCACTGCGCTCAATTTCGACAAGCGCCCTCGATTTTGTGCTTGAAGTACATCTCTTACGAACATGCCACCGGTGGTAGTATGATATCCTTGTCAATAGTGTTTTCCTAGCAGGACTACTTACTTGTTTTAAGCGTATCAGAACAAGACTCATGTTCGAGATTGAAGGTTTCTTCATTATCCAAGGCACGGCCACTTCACTACACCACTGGGCTACATTACTAGTAGTAGGAGCGTGACATCCAGTTCTTCCGCACAGCATAGCTATAGCATGCCTCGTAAGACAGACATTCATCGGAGTTCTTGAAGGAGCGGCTGTGCTATAGCGAGAACACTTGTGGTCGAGTGCAGCATACGGCCCTATAGCGAGGCCTTTACACCGTGCTTCTCAAGGAGAGCCTTCTCCTTCTTCTTAATCTCTGCGGTTCGCTGTGCGAGAGCAGGGGCACGTTTCAGCTCCCGCTGACCGATCTGCTGAATGTGGACCTGAAGACGGAGGAAGTTATCAGCTGCTAAGCTCGCAAGCGAAGACATCTCGACATACGGCGTCGGGCCCCTGCGCAGGCATTCATGTCAGCAGAGCGTTTGCGAGACCGAGAATGCACGTACATCGGCGATACGCAGTGTCCTCAACTGCGCATAGATCTGGGCAAGCGGCGTGTCTTGACTAACGCCCTCTGCACCGAAGGCTTGTATGGCAGTGTCCACAACCCTCAGTGCCATAGAGGGCACCACAAACTAAGTGTTCAGTTGTTGTCAGCAATCGTGCAGTTAGCCAACGAAGTGATGACTTACCTTGGCGATACCAATCTCCTTAAGTGCACCTTTTGCCTGAGCTCTGTCAATCTGAGAAATGATTAGACCTATGCGGTTTCCGATATACGTTTGGTCTTACCTGGAGGGCAGCGCTCAGAACCAGAAGTCTGGCAGACTCAATCTCCGCACGACAATGGGCGAGCTCAGAGATGACAGTGCCTACAATGAGGAGCTCAGATCTTCCAGCGACATGGAGTAGATGAGATCATCGTACCATGCTCGTAGAGATACTTCCCGAACGTCTTCTTGGCCGGGTCGGTGACACGTTGTATCATGAGGTCCAGTGCGTACTGGGCACATCCAATTGACCGCATACAGTGATGGATGCGTCCAGGGCTGGTAAAGTTCTTGAGCAATGCGATAGTTTGGGTCTGATGTGTACTCACCCTAGGCGTCCTTGGATGATCTACAAGAGGGACTCAGAGTCAACGTGGGATACAACACCAGTCGCGTTACTTACCTCGAAGCCTTTGCCCCAGCCCAGAACAAGATTGCTCACGGGTACACGGACATTCTCGTAGATGATTTCACAGTGTCCCTCAGGCGCGTCGTCGTACCCGAAAACACCCATGGGGCGCACGACCTTGACACCAGGGGCATTGGCGGGTACAATAACTATGCTCTGCTGACGGTACTTGTCGGTGTTGTCGGGGTCGCTCTTTCCAAGGACCAGGTGCAAAGCGCAGCGAGGATCTCCAGCGCCGCTGATGTACCTACGGTTCGAGAAAGATAGGTTCGGTGCACGGACAGTCCGACTACCGCAGGAGCTCACCACTTGTGACCGTTAATCACTATCTCATCGCCCTCCAGCCGGATGCTCGTCCGGATGTTGGTCGCGTCGGAGGAGGCAACTGAACAGGATTAGACAGCATGAGGACCATGCACGTGTCGTACGCACCAAACCTCTCAGTCATCGAGAACGCGGACCGGGTCTCGCCATTCAGCAACGGGAGTAGCCATTTCTTCTGCTGCTCCGGTGACCCGTATCGTGCCAGGACCTCTACAAGGATTGCTTAGGTATAGCGCACAGAAACGGGTGCGGTGCTTACCCATGTTTCCCGTGTCAGGAGCTGAGCAATTAACGGCCTCCGAAGCGATCTGTCCACCACGCCCAAGAATCTCCGCCATGAATGCATACTGGGACAATGTCAGCTGTCGTACCGCAGTCGACCCGATTCGCGTACCTCGAGATTCGTGAGGGGCACCCCAAACTCGGGGTAGCGCGCCTTGCTCAAGAAGAGGTTCCAGAGCCCGAGCTCACGGGCCTTGGCCTTGAGTTCTGCGACAATGGGGATCACCGCCTTCCACCTCTTCACTGGGTCAGCAGGCAGCTGGGCGTGGGCAACCTTCTGCGCGGGCAGAATCTCGTCCTGTCACCCCATTCTCTTGAGCGACATGACATGTAAATAGGGAAGCGCCTTACATGAACGAAGGCGATGAGCTTCGCGAGAGTTTCCTTCGCATATGGCGAGAACTTGTCCTCAACCTATCCCTAGTCAGTTCACATAGGATCATAAGTCTCCCGGAAGCCTTACCATAGCCCATGCTGACGGCGACGCGAACTCTTCAATTGGGTGAGGTGCCATGGCGGAGGTTGACACGAAGAGTATTGGCCTGCATCTTCCGGGGTCGCACCTTCATATGCGGCGCTGTACACGGGAGAGGATCAGTTGACCTGCCGTTCCCGATCCGCCTGGCCCCCTGGCGGCACTTATGCCTTCGTTTGACCGAGCTTAGAATCACGTTGTTGAGTTGCTTGCAGTCCTCGGGACAACATATTCACAGGCCTCCGGCAATCACGTCGAGACAGCAATATAACGACGTGATTATATTGAGATAGCTTGTACTACAGGCTACAGCCGATCGCGACCTTGGTAAGGTAGCTCAGGAGCGTCAGTGGCACTACGGATACAAATACAGGTTCGGAGTTAGTACAGAGGTAAGGTTGCATAGCGAGAACTGTCTATGTCAGGAGCATTAGTACGATAGCATAACAGGTCATTACACCCATATCGACATCACGACTACCAAAGCAAACGTACATACTAGTCATCAATCGTCGTGAGTCATGGGTTCTGCCATTGCTCGTCCAAGGCCGGCTCGCCGAGCGTGAAGGGGATCTCTGGGTCGTAGCCAAAAGCGTTGGGATCGAACGTATTCCATGCTTGATCACCACCGCTAGAAAAACCTGAGGGATTGTAATTGCGGATGAAGTCGAGGCCACGGAAGGGTAGCCCCGACGCAGCGAAGCCATTAGTTGTCGGTGGCGACGAGCCAGGCATCCCGAAGAGCGCTGGGTCTACGTTGTTCATTCCATCGTAGCCGAGATACGATGCGTCAAAGTTCGACGTCGGCGGAGGGTTGAAGGATATGGGGGAGTACGGCTGAGCCTGCTGCTGAGACGGGCTCTGCGGCTGCTGCTGAGACTGCGATGACTGCGAGCCAGACGACATGAACTTCAATCCGCTGGCACTAGGCTCCGGAACCCCGGCCCAGCGCTCAGGTGGGCTCTGCGACAAACCGAAGTCGTAGTCGAAGCGCTGAGACGGTATCGACGAGGTCGGCGACTGCGGGAGGGGAATGGTCATCGGGTTCATCGGGTTGAACCCAGATACGGACATCATGCGAGGGCTAGTGTCGGGGAAATCAATGTTCTGCCCTGACGGCGAGGGCTGACTGTTGACAGACGCAGGGGAGCTTGTTGAGCTGAGCGTCGAACGCCCAGGGTACGAGCTGGAGAGCATGCCGTAACCTTGACTCCCGTCCTGGAACTGATCGTCATCATGGGGCCGTTTGCGGGACGTTGACCGGGCACGTTGCGCTGAAATACCCGTGAGTCACTGGCCACTACAAAAGAAGCATGCGCACTCACAATCAGGACGGAATTGCACGCCTGGTATTGCCTGATGGGTGGACAGGCGCGGATCCCTCGATCGGTTCCGCCGAGGCTTCGCCTTAATCAACCTTTCGGGCATGGCCATAGGGACCGCGGCAGACATGCACCCTTCTGGAATGCCAGAAGGCGAAGCCGAGGAGGTTGGCGAACGCACGAGGCTATTTGCGCGGTTGTTAGAAGCGGTTTGAATAGCCTCGCGGGCGGTGGCGGTGATCTCCTCGAGGAGCTCCTTGCATTTCCGCGCTCCGGGCCACTGTGCCTCCCACTGCTCCAGCATAGGAAGACAGCTCGTAGCCTCGTCCATCGCAGCTTGCGCGGCTGTAGGTTCTGGCGTGTGCATGGCGTAGAGGAGGATTATGACGGCAGAGCTGAAGAGGTTCTGAATGAAGAAGGCGAGGTGGTGACTAGGAGGTACGACGCCTCGGATGGCAGGAGCTAGGCGGATACAAGCGCGGGCAGTGGAGACCGCCTTCGCTGTCGAGCGCGGATAAAGGGGTTGGTCGTACTTGACGGGCACAAAGTTCCGGTGGAGGGTGACGAGAATGGAGTAGTAGTGACTGCAAAGCACAGCTCCCATGGATACCTGCTTGTCGGTCATAGGTCGGGACTTGAAGGCTTCCGGCAAATCGTCACACCATTTGGTGAGCTGGCTGTCTAACGACTCGACAGCGCGCTGGAGGTCGGCACGTTTCTCCGGCTCCAGGATGTCTCTGCACTTGTCGATGGCGTAGACCTGGCGCAACACCCTTCCGCCTATGCGGTAGAGTATTGTGAGGTCGATGAAGCCCTTCATGAGCTGCGGAGGCTCCCGAGAGATCGTGGCACCAGCGAAGTACTCGGGAAGTAGTTCATCGTCAACGTCAATGGGGAGTTCAACGTCGCAATCGGTGTCCTCGATGCCAAGGGGGCGGCCAAGAGCCAGAGCCAGCATGCGGTCAAGGGTGTACACCCCCCACCACACCTTCTTCCTCGTCTCCTTCTCGATTGGAGGAATGAATAACCGCCGAGGCG